TGTCGCTCGGACGCCCGCGGGTTTTGCGGGACAGAGTCCTGCGCGCGAGCAGCACACCAGGTTCCGGCTTGGCGAGGTGGGGTGGGGGGCGGGCATTAACCTGTAACTGGGAACCTCGGTTCCGGGCGATGCTAGTCGAGAGGGCCTGTAAGCTGGCGATAAAGCGCGCGAAGGTCCCAACGGTCACGTGTCAAGAGGAAGTGAAGTTGCGGGGGGTCGGGGGGGGGTTGCCCTCGCAGAGGGCCTGCAGACAGACCCCTGAGGACCAGGGGGCCACTCCGGATCCCATCAGATACTGTGTCCACGTCACAGGTTCCTCCCGGGAGCCTGTAAACATGCCTGCACGCGGGAAGGCTCCCGCATAAAGACCCACCCGTTCTAGGGGCGGCCCCCTGCCCAGGGGCCTGTAAAGATTTTTATGTGCCAGAGAGTGTCCTTAGAGAAGAGTGTCGACTCGAGTGCTTCCTTAGGGTGGGCATAGGTAAGGAGTGAGGAACTGGGAGCCTCCCCAAATAATTTGCAAGTAGACACTTTGATTCTGGGAGATCCCCAGAAGGGGTGTGTGCAGAGATGGATAGTACTGAGGAGACCCCTCTGGAGAAATGTGCAATTAGACACCCATTTCTGGGAGGTCACAGTGGAATCCTGTCAATAGACATAAATAGACTAGAGGCCCAGAGCACGAATTCGTGCACAAGTGGGGTCCCTCGGCCTGGCCGGCAATGGGAGGGGTGGGGGTGATCGGGACAGCTGGCCAGAAGGAGGAACCGCGGGAGGTGGGCCGGCCACAGGAGGTTGGCTGTGGGAACATACTGACCACCAGGGGGCTTTTATATCCTATATAATAATCCTATATAATAAAAGGGTAATATGCAAATTGACCCTAACAGCAGTCATTCCGGGAATGACTGGTCACTATGACACACACTGACCACCAGGGGGGCAGATGCTCAATGCAGGAGCTGCCTATTGGTGGTCAGTGCACTCCCACAGGGGGAGCTCTGCTCAGCCACAAGCCAGGCTGATGGCTGCCAGTACAGTGGTGGTGGCGGGAGCCTCTCCAGCATCCTCAGCAGCACTAAGGATGTCTGACTGCAGCTTAGGCCTGCTCCCCGCTGGCAAGTGGACATCCCCTGAGGGCTCTCGGGCTGCCAGAGGGATGTCTGACTGCCAGTTTGGGCCCGATCCCCCAGGGAGCGGGCCTAAGCCAGCAGGTGGTCATCCCCTGAGGGGTCCCAGACTGGGAGAGGGCACAGGCCGGGCTGAGGGCCGCCCCCCCCCCAGTGCACAAGTTTTTGTGCACCAGGCCTCTAGAGTATATATAGATGGGCTTTATACATTTTGGGGGAATCCCCCAAAGGAGTTTGGAAACAACATTGAAGGTCTCCAAGTTGCATGTAGGTGGACCCTTATTCTGGGTAACTGTCCACAGGGGCTGTTAAATAGACTCAAATACTGTGGAGGTTTCCAGAATAACAGGCAAATGGACACCTCTTTGCATGGGAAGGGGGCCTGTAGGTACGTAAACGCTGTCGGGGCAGAATCCCCACGGAGGCTGAACACAGACACTTAAGCGCTACGGAGGTCGCCAGAATAATGAGTGAGCAGACGCTTAATTGCCAGGGCGGGAGGAGGGAGTCCCAAGTTCTGCGGGGAATCTTGCACTGAGATTGTAAACAGTCATTTAAGCCTGAATGAATCATTTCCATAAACATTTGTAAGCAGGCCCTGTCCTCCTGTCTTCAGTCCAGTTTGTGGCTGGGGAAGGGGTCACAGAACAGTGAGAGTAGCTAGGCAAGTCCCTACCTGGCTAGCGAAAGTACTGCATCCTGTCAACAGACACTTCAAGTCACTCACGTGGACCTGTTAATGTCCCCTTGCACTGGGACAGGTTTGGAGGGCGCTCACTGAATGATTTCACAGGCACTTGAGAGCTCGCTAAGCAAGAGTCAGCAAGCTTTTTCTGTAAAGGGCTGGGGAGGAATTCCTTTAGACATGCATGCCGTACTGTCTCTGTCTCTGGCATTGAATCAAGAAGGCAGCTATAGACAGTTTGTAAACTGATGGCTGTGTTCCGATAAAGCTTTATTTACAAAAACAGAAGGCAGAGCCGATTTGGTCCTGAGGTTGCAGTTTGCCAACTTGACCCATGAGCAATAGCAGTTGGTCTTACAGCCCTGTAACCGCACAGACAAGTGCTCAGAGACTTCCCTAGAAAGATGTGTAAACACCCGGGAAAGTGCCGAGGTAGCTGTAGACAGACACGTAAGTGGGGAGTGGGTCACACAGATTACATACATTTTATAACTGAACACTGGTGAGACCTTGCAGTGTAATGGATGGTGAGCCACCAGGAATGGAAGGTAACCGACACTGAAATGTTGAGGGACACCAGATGAAGAGAGGCCTTGAATGTTGGAGCCCCCCTCCCCCCCCAAACGCCAAATGCCAGTAAGGCTTCATCGGAGGAGGAGTTGTCTCACTGAGGATCACGCTGCTGATTTGTGAGGAAATGCCTTACAGCATTTTGAGAAAGAGAATGTCCCATTTTTATGTGACCCACCTCTATGAATTATATATGTGTTGGGGCAAAGCGATTAATAGTTGGGAATGGTTTTGGTTACAAGTAGAAGTGTATTTGTTTTCTTACTGAATCTTGAGGTAGGCAATTCAAGGTTAATAGAGAACCCCTGAACCTTATATCTTGTTCTACCAGCCTTCCTTCCATTAAGTTGCCTCACAGCCCACA